GTTGCGAAAATCATAGCGGAGTCCCAGGGCGCACTATCGAGAATTACTCCACAATCAAGAGAATCATACAGAAAATACGTAACAAGAATCGGATCAACTTCAACAATTTGGGGGCATCCAAGTGAGGAAGATCATTTCATCATTTGAGACATTATGTTTGAATCTGTTTTTTCATTATTTCTTAAGTTTTTGTAAGGACTTTTGAATAAATTTATGTTACTTTAAAGATGATAAGCAATGGATCACATTTGCAAACTTGCAATTCTTTGAATATCATTTGAATTAAGAAACTCTGTGAATGGTTCAGAGTTACGGATCTTTAACAAAATAACATGTTTTAAAACAATGAATTTAACTTTACCCAGAATATACACTCAAACACCGTACCCTGCTCTTGTAATTAACCAATATAACATTTTCCTTTCATAAGGTGCGGACAACATGGGGCATCATTTGCATATGACCATTACTATGCTTTTATTTAGGACGTTCAATGACGATGATGATCTTTACAAATGAAAGAGTCGAGTAGGTGAATCCAGTTTAGGTCAGTTGTTTGAAAATTGAACTCTAAAGATGAGATTCCTTGACTTTCAAAAACACCTAGACTATGACAGGTTCTTCTTGACAATCTTAAGAAATTAAATCCGTAAAAACTGAGCTATTCCGCTAAGGCAATTGGTTATAGAGGAAACTTGAAAGCCCTGGCCTTATGAGTAGATTACGTTCAAACCATGGCATTGCTCGGACACTTAGCAATTCGGTGTTTGCTCCACTGCTCTTGTCAGGCTGAAGACTCTGTGATGAGATGAACCCTTCAGTTAACTTGATAACTGTGATTATAATATTAAGCTGTCCCTCTAAAGCAATTGGTTAAACGCCCCGGCTTTATGGATTCAGCTAGTCAGATAACGACAAGTTAAATCAAATTTATCTAAGCAAGAAATTTTCGGTAAAATGGACTAAGGGAGTTAAGGAACACCTGTTATAGTCAACTACACACGAGCACTCAAGAATTTCATTTTTAGACCGATGTTTTTGCACTACCTTTGTTAGAGGAGACTACAAAGCTTGAACAAATAGAAGATTTCAGAGGACTGAAATAAAAGGTCTAGTAAGTGATCATGCTAGTTGCGTCATTTTGTCCGCACCCAATTGAAGTGCCAAAGCATGTTGCGGCATTTCAAAAAAAATGACATTTTTTACCAAAACCTTAGAAAGGAGGCCAAGCTAAAGCCAACCCATCCATTTGAACATTTGTCAAAGAGTTGTAACTCTGAAAGCATTAAAAGAGCTTTTAATTTCATTGATATTTTTTGAACTCACGTTTACAATGTGATTCAGTTGCGAACAATATTTTACAATATTTTTATCATGTCTCTCTCCTAAAACAAGAAAAAGGAGAAAAACATTTTAAAGCGGTACAGTCTCAAATATGAAAGGTCTGTAAAGCCAAAGCTCGAGAAGCAAATGGGGCACGATCAATTCTATGAACCAGATTGGCAGGCAAGACGCGGGACTTCAATCCAAGAAATAAATCATAATTCATTCATGATTGCATGCATCTTATACATACCTAGGTGCATCACATCCATCATTTTCAGCATACATGATTTGTTACAGCCTTTAGAGCCAATTTCAACTTCACAACGAAGGATATTGGACTCCAGACAACGTAAGTTCAACTTCACGACGAAGGGACCGCTGGTTGTCAATAAACAACTTCTCAATTTCAGAGCCAATTTCAACTTCACAACGAAGGATATTGGACTCCAGACAACGAAAGTTTAACTTCACGACGAAGGGACCGCTGGTTGTCAATAAACAATTTCTCGATTTCAGAGTCAATTTCAACTTCACAACGAAGGATATTGGACTCCAGACAACGCAAGTTCAACTTCACGACGAAGGGACCGCTGGTTGTCAACAAACATTTCTCAATTTCAGAGCCAATTTCAACTTCACAACGAAGGATATTGGACTCCAGACAACGCAAGTTCAACTTCACGACGAAGGGACCGCTGGTTGTCAATAAACAATTTCTCGATTTCAGAGTCAATTTCAACTTCACAACGAAGGATATTGGACTCCAGACAACGCAAGTTCAACTTCACGACGAAGGGACCGCTGGTTGTCAACAAACATTTCTCAATTTCAGAGCCAATTTCAACTTCACAACGAAGGATATTGGACTCCAGACAACGCAAGTTCAACTTCACGACGAAGGGACCGCTGGTTGTCAATAAACAATTTCTCGATTTCAGAGTCAATTTCAACTTCACAACGAAGGATATTGGACTCCAGACAACGCAAGTTCAACTTCACGACGAAGGGACCGCTGGTTGTCAACAAACATTTCTCAATTTCAGAGCCAATTTCAACTTCACAACGAAGGATATTGGACTCAAGACAACGCAAGTTCAACTTCACGACGAAGGGACCGCTGGTTGTCAACAAACAATTTCCCAATTTCGGAGCCAATTTCAACTTCACTGCAAAGGATATTGGACTCGAGACAACACAAGTTCAACTTCACAACGAAGGGACGGGTGGTTGTCAACAAACAATTTCCCGATTCCAGAGCCAATTTCAACTTCACGACGGAGGGTATTGGACTCGGAACAATGCTACTTACTTGGATTTCAACTTCACGACGAAGGATATCCAATTCCAGGCTCAACTTCACGACGAAGGGAATCGTGCACACAAGCATCATCCATCTTTAGATTGGATTTCAACTTCACGACAAAGGATATCCAACTCAAAGAAGGAGTATCTGTCAACAAAGACCTTCGAGTTCGACTACGCTCAGCTCCAAGGCACATCATTTACATCATATCTCAAGGAAAAAAGGGATATCTGTCAATAAAATTATCGAGTTCGATTCCATTCAGCTCGATGACACCTCAATCACACTACTGTCCGACTGCAATCGAGGTTTTCAAGCCGAGAAGAAGATATGGGTTAGCCGTTCCTTAGTAGCAAGAAGCCTTTTTCCCGTCAACTGTCAATGAAGACTTTTCGAGTTTGGTGTCACTCAGCTCGAGGGCATGTCAACCACATGGTGGAGTCAAAGAATTACTTTCCAATCGAAGTTTTAAACCAAGGTCTTTAAACCAAGAAGAAGACCAAAGCAGACTACAACGAGAAGCCACGTTTCGATTCAAATTCCGAACTACGACTTCAATATCATTTCAAGATGGACTCGACTTCGCAACGGAGGAGTCATCCACAACTCAATTCGACATGGAGTTATATCATAGTCAATTTTCAACTTCACCGAACGAAAATTCGTGTCTTTTTATCTTTGTCCTATTTTTCGTTCCACGAAAAAAGACAAAGAGGGGCAGCTGTAGACACTAGTTTTCTTCCACACGAACCGCACAACCAGCCGGTTTTCACGGAACCATCAAAGTTGTGTTTCAATGGGACTCCTCAACCCACTCACGCAACCACCGCCGAAAATCTCGGCACCCAACATCAACAAACAAGCAGAAATAAATTGAGAGTTCTACTCGGATTCTAAGACTTTTTTTCTACTATAATAAAGCGTGTAAACACATACCTGGGGGGGACACGCAAAAATACTCAGAGTTTACAAGAAACGCGACGGGATAAACATACGGGGAGCAACGATTTACAAAAAAAAAATCCTACGAGGAATACGCGAAAAATACGAGAAATACAGAGGGATTCATTCGAAGGAAAAATACAGAAGCATTTCGGAAGGAGAAGTCCGAGAAGAACAACATACCTCGGAACAGAAACGATCTGACGACGGAAGAGTTAGATCGGAGAGGTGAAGAGTCGAAGTTTCTTTTGCCTTTTTGCAGAGTTGGGGACATTTTCTTGCAAGACCGGGATTGGATCCAAGTTACCGGTGTCGAGAAAGACCTACCTTTAAAGTTTGGCGTTGAACGGGTTCTTTCCCGGCGAGAAGGCAGTGAAACGCTCACCCTGTTTTTAATATCTGGTAACAAATGAGTTTGGTTCTTCTTTTGTTTGTTTTAAACGTGAATGTGGCTTTGATCTGACATAGCAAGTGGAGCACACCAATTGTAATATATTGGAAAAATTACTTATTTGGTCACTTGACATTTGATGAATTATGTTAGCTTTATTTTTCCTTTAAGTTTGACATTATATTATGCATACAATTCATTTTGGTCCTAGAATTTTAATTTTAAATTAAATCCTTAGATTTAGGTTTCAATTATTTTAGTCCTAATTTAGATTATTTTATTTAGTATCGTCTTATTTATTATTATAATAATTATTATTTTTTAAAACCTCTTTTTTCATTTTTATTTCCCTTTTAACATTCTTTTTTATATATACGTTTTTAGTTATATTTTTCTATTTTTGTATATTTCTTATTTTTGGTTTTTTTTCATTTCTTACTATTATATTATACTATTTTTTTATTTTTTTATTTCATTTTTATTCTTATGTATTATTTACTTATTTATCAACTAACCTTTTATATATATTATTATTTTACTTTATTTATTATTATTATTATTTGCTATGATCTATTTTACTAACTTTTGTTTATTTTTGTCGTACATTTTGTTTCATTATTATTTTTATATTTATAGATATATATATATATATATATTTTCCCTTTGCTACCTTGTATTTATTTTTATTTTTACCATCTAACATTTTTCGACACTTACAGTGATAATTTCAATCGATCAAAGGTAATCAATTCGAACCGAATTTTTAAATTTAAATTTAAATTTTTAATTTTCGCAATTAAGACAATCGACAAATTAATTGGTACCGAAAGGGCGGTTCAAGGGTGTTAATCCTTCCTTGACCGTAACCGACTCCCGAACCCGACACGTTTCTGGTAAAACGCAGATCAGGTAAGATGGTGTCCGACCCACCTAAATTCGTTTTAAAATGGTCGGTGGCGACTCTAACCCAATTCATCCAAGTCGAAGCCCAATTCCGGGGCCCAACCGAAAGGCGGTTACGACAGTAAGAGACCGGAAATGGCGAGTTGTAAAATGCAGATGATTTTAGCTTTGTGCCCCTTTGTTATGCTCGTTACAATTCCTGCGACATATGGTTGGGGAACCGATGGCCATTCCATCATTTGTAAAATTGCTCAGGTTTTGATCTCATTTTCATCTGTTTTTTAAGTTGTTTTGGTTGCTGCTGATGACAACAACTTATTTGTTTCTCCGTAGTCTCGGTTGAGCAATGCAGCGGCGGATGCCGTGAAGCAGTTGCTGCCGAAATGGGTGGAAGACGATCTCGCGGCCGTGTGTTCTTGGGCGGATCGAGTCAAGTTCCGATACCGATGGTCGTCGCCTCTCCATTTCATTAACACCCCTGAAATCTGCAGTTACCGGTACTCGAGTACGTGTAAGATGTTTATGAATTCGAGTCGAATTGAATCGTTTTTTTTTTTAATAGAATCGAGTTTTACTCACTCCTAATTTTAACCCTCAAGGGGACTGCACAGACGAAGATGGAGTAGCCGACAGGTGTGTTGCTGGTGCAATTAACAACTACACTTCTCAGCTTCTTACCTACAACTCTGCATCGAACGAAGCTCAATGTACAGTCTCCCACGTTAGTTTCAGTTGCTTTCCCTTGTTTATTTGCCTTATTCTTCCGGGTAACATAATTCCGTTTTTTTGTAATAAATCGATAACGTTATCAGATAACCTCACGGAATCACTTCTTTTCCTTTCTCATCTAATGGGAGATGTCCATCAGGTATGTTATCAAACCCGCGATTCAGGGATGGATTGAGGGGAGACTGGCGTGATCGGTTGTCATGTTCCCCTAACATAAAATTCTACGTCCATTCCTGCTCTGATCCAATTGAGAATTTTAAGTTTCACTATAATGAACAACATTGATGTGCATAAAATTTCAGCCATTGCATGTGGGGTTTGCAGCAGACAAGGGAGGCAACACCATTGATGTCCACTGGTATAAAAGAAAGGCAGTTCTTCACCATGTGAGCTTAATCTTTAACTTTCTTCATACTCCTTCTGTTATGTGTTCGTGCATTAAAGGCAAAAGATTAATAATACAGGTCTGGGATACCAATATGATCGAGACAGCTGAAGAGAGATTTTATGATTCAAATGTAGATTCCATGGTTGATGCAATTCAACATAACATCACGGTATCTATCCTAGTTTATGATAACATAATACATACATACATGCATGCATGCATGCATCTATATATATCCTTTTATTTATCTGATGATTGTGAAACAGGGTGAATGGGCAAAAGAAGTAAAAAGATGGGAGAGCTGTAGTTTAAACAAGACAGCATGCCCTGATATGTATGTATGGGCCTTAACCATGGGTTTGACGCTTTAGAATATGAACTAATGTGTAGATTGTATTGGCAGATATGCATCTGAAGGCATCAAAGCGGCCTGTGATTGGGCATATAAAGGTGTCGAACAAAAATCTGTACTCGAAGGTAAAACTTAAAAATAATTTCAGAGACTTATCTGTTTGCCACGAGGGGAGAACAATGTGAAAAATATTAGGGTAATTTACGCGTTTAGTAATTGAACTATCAGTTTTGGTCCGTTTTAGTATCTAAAATTTCAATTTTTTTTAAAACCATACCTAAAGTTTTGTTATTAAAACAGACTAAAACCAATAGTTTAGGTACTCAACGCGTTAAGTTTTTAACGGCGGGTACTAAAATGAAACAAAAAGTAAACGTTAGATATCGTTTTGAAAAAGATTGAAAGTTTAGGTATTAAAACGAACCAAAATTAATAGTTTAGGTACTAAATGTGTAGTTTACCCAAAATATTAATATATAAGCTTCTGTTATTGCAGATGATTATTTTCTGTCGCGGCTACCGGTTGTTCATCGGAGGTTAGCCCAGGGGGGAGTCCGATTGGCTGCAACTCTTAACCGTATCTTTGGATGAAAAAGCAACCTATGCCACGTCCTTTGTTAATAATGTTATTTGAAGATGAATTTGTTCTTATGTTTATAAAATAAGTTAATTTTATTGAGTTTGAATTGTTTAATTTAATTTATGTTGAACTTGAAATTTCACTTCCTTACACGGTTACATCCCATTTAACCGTGCACATATACACAACCAATTGATTTATTGGAATGAGACACTAGATTCTTTAAGTTGGGAGTTCGAATCTTAACAATTACGAATGGAGTAAATTGGTTTGGGATGATCGCTTTTATCTCCGCAGTACCTGATATGGATTAATCAATTAATAGATCAGATACTAATAATTATATAAAAAATAATATTTCTTAATTACATACAGAAACATCTAATAAAATACAATATAAGGGTCAGTGCAGCTAATTTTGACTACATTCAGCTCTTCATTTCTTGGCTAGATTCCTAAGAAAGCGGAAATTTCATCGTTGAAGGGAGTTTCTGTTGTGCGGCGCCTAAAAAACGGCGTGACCTGTTAAACAAGTGACCGGTTAAAATTTAGACTGGTTATGTTATATCATTTAACCGGAAATATTATCAAGTACAATAATATATTAGGTAGCGCTTATATAATGTAATAGGTAGTGCTTATATTAACATATTTTCTAACTAAATAAGTATATTTAAACCGGCAACATTACAAATTTACCTATTACATTATAATTATCGGTTTTGATGTTTTTGGGATTGATACAATTTTAAATGTATCGACACTTTAAGCGTGCACCTCGTTGTGCTTTCATTTTGGGAAAAAATTATCGACACATATTTAAAGAGTGTCGATAGATAATGTAAACCTATTTGCTAATTAAATAGTATATTTTTACCGGTTATATTGTAAATTTACTTGTTTCTGAGTTTTTGTTCTTTGAGAAATTGATAACATGGTGGGTTTCTCAATGTTATTCTTTTGTTACTTCAAAGTTTTTGTTCTTTTCTTACTGAGTTTTGCTTAAAATATCTAACTTTTTGTATTAAAAAATAAAAATTCTAAAATAAAAATGACCACACAAACACACTTTTTTACTACTGGTTTTGTCATTCCAGACCGATTTTATTATATTTTTACCTGTTATATTGTTATGGATCGATACATTTTTATAAAGTATCGACACTTTATTGACGCTATAACTTCTTTTCTTTTAAATTCTAAAAGTGTCAATACTTATAATAAAGTATCGAAACTTTCAACATATTCGGTAACTCTTTACTGGTTTTGTCATTTCGAGACCGGTTTTGTCATATTTTTACCTGTTATATTGTTATAGATCGATACAATTTTATAAAGTATTGACACTTTATTAGCGTTGTAACTTCTTCTCTTTTAAATTCCAAAAGTGTTGATATTTATAATAAAGTATCGACACTATCAACATATCCGGTAGCGCTTCACCTGTTTTGTCATTTATAAACCGGTTTTGTTATTTTTTTACATGTTATATTATTATGGATCGATACATTTTTATAAAGTATTAACACTTTCAATATATCCGGTAGCGCTTTACCTGTTTTGTCATTTATAGACCGGTTTTGTCATTTTTTACCTGTTATATTGTTATGGATCGATACATTTTTATAAAATATCGACACTTTCAATATATCAGGTAGCGCTTTACCTGTTTTGTCATTTATAGACCGGTTTTGTCATTTTGTTACCTGTTATATTGTTATGGATCGATACATTTTTATAAAATATCGACACTTTCAATATATCCGGTAGCGTTTTACCTGTTTTGTCATTTATAAACCGGTTTTGTCTTTTTTTTACCTGTTATATTGTTATGGATTAATATATTTTTATAAAGTATCAACACAAACCGACAAGCTAAGTTTACCGGTTGTCAAATTTTTTAATATTTCTTCATGATTTCTACTTATTACATTATTATTACTCGATATTTTCGATAGCACTAAACCAAATTTATCAAATATCTTTTAATATATCCGATAATACCGTATATTAATCGTATATTAATCGGTCTTTCCTAATACAATCCTCATCCTTGAAGCACCGAGAAAAGAACTTGGTCGCTTTGATGTTGAAATTCTGGGAATTGTCAGTTCCATTTATTCGATACTTTAGCCTTATTGTGCCCTTTTTGAGTACGGAAGTTCGTGGGTATTCCTGGGACTGAAAATTCTATATTAAGCAATGGAAATGGGAACAAATGATATTTATTTGTTCTTTTATGCAAATAGAAACTGTTTTTTTTAATAATTTAGAGCGATTACATATTATTTTTCTTAGTTATTGACAACACGCACTCATAGACGTATATATTTAAACTCATAATTTTTAGAAAATATATTTTCAACAGTTGATATTATTTGATGGGTTCGTAAATAGAAATAGTTGGCTTTATTTAGGGTAAATTACATGTTTAGTATCTAAACTATTAGTTTTGATTTTTTAGTACCTAAAATTTTAATTTTTTAAACCATGACTAAAGTTTAGTTTTTGTTTCATTTTAGTATCTTGCCGCTAAAAACTTTGATTTTTGTTTCATTTTAGTACACCGTTCAAAATTTAACGTTAAGTTTTGCAAAAAATTAAAAGTTTAGGTACTATAAGGTTTTAACGTCGGGGTACTAAAATTAAATGAAAACCAAACTTTAGGTATGATTTTGAAAAAATTGAAAATTTAGGTACTAAAATAGACCAAAACTGCTAATTTAAGTACTAAATACGTAGTTTACCCTTTTATTTAAAATGAGGAAACATACAAAAATTGCAATAAAGATTTACGAACAGAAACATAAAATCATAAATTAAACATATAATTAATAAATTTCATATTATCATTGACACAAAAAATTAGTCACTTAAGATTATACAAGACCATATAAGGAAAATATTAAAAACTTATCCAAGAAATATTAACAAAATATAATTTCAAACATATATGATTGAATCGAAAAACAAACTACAACATATAATCAAATACTAAAATATCACTGATAATCGTAAATCAATAAAAAGGGAAAATCTCACATAAGATACCAATCTAAGCTCCTTTTGTTGCCAGGGGGGGGGAAGGTAAAAATAAAAACTTCTTGTCCTTGTAACATATAGGATTCCATGTCTTAAAGGTTTCCCATTTCGAACTTTAATTTTGGCTTTCATCTCCTTTTATCCACGAGGACAATGGGATCCACCTAATAGTAGACTAATGCATCAAAGACTGATTCATTCTTCTTCAACTTGTTGGGAAATTTCCTTTGAAAAGAGATGCCTCCAGTTGGTTGCCCTGTAAATCAATAGTTATGCTCACATATTTAATTGGTATAAAATCAAAACTAACCCCAATATTTGTTTGACTAATCATTTCGATAATTTTTTTAGTATCTTAATTCTCAATAATCATTTTTTTAGAGAAAATAATTTCAATGACCGAAAATGTCTTATAATATACGATTTTAACCAACTTTTTTTGGATTTACGAAAATGACCAACAAATTCGCAACGCGAACTCCAATTTCGCAACACAGGTTCCAAAATCACAACGCGAATAGGGAAATTACAACGCGAATAAGGAAATCGCAACGCGATTTTCAAACTCGCAACGCTAATTACCGATATAGGTAAACAGTACTATCGCAACGCTAATTACCGATATAGGTAAACAGTCGAAATGATTTTTTCTTTAAGAGGCGAGATTTTACATTTCGCAACACGAATTGTCAAATTCGCAACTCAGTTTTCAAATTGGTGAATTCGAATTTTTGTCTGAATTTTTTCTACTGTGTCTACCTATATCGGTAATTAAGTTGCGAAATTGGCGAATTCAATTTGTGAAAATAACGTTGCGATAGTACTGTTTACCCATATCGGTAATTGGCGTTGGGAATTTGAAAATCATGTTGCGATTTTACTATTCGCGTTGCAATTTTCCTATTCGCGTTGCGATAGTACTGTTTACCTAAATCGGTAATTAGCGTTGTGATTTTCCTATTCGCGCTGCGATAGTATTGTTTACCTATATCGGTAATTAACGTTGCGATTTTGAAACCTGTGTTGTGAAATTGGAGTTCGCATTGCGAATTTGTTGGTCATTTTCGTAAATCCAAAAAAAGTTGGTTAAAATCATATATTACAAGGCATTTTCGGTCACTGAAGTTATTTTATCTTTTTTTATCGAGATGAATCTATTAGATTGAAATCATTAGTTAACTAACGGTCAACACATGTTACTAACGTAATATTTTTACACTTAGTTGCTGACATTTCACATGCCATGTTATCACCTTAGATGATGTGACATATGTCATGTCATTATATCTTAATTGACATAACACATGTCATATCGTCACCATATGTGGCATATCATGTGTCATCACTTTAGATGACATGACATAGAATACGTAGTAATTTAACATCTGTAAAATTATTACGTCAGTAATATACGTTGATTGTTAGTTATCTAACGATTTTCATCTAATACATACCATTTTAACCAAAATTCCAACGTTAGGGGACAAACTACAAAAGAAAAGAACAAGGCCTAAAGCGACCAATCAAATAAACGTTGGGGGACTAACTCTGATATTATACCTTGTTAAATTCAATTATTTGAGCTTTATCGTTTTCAACCAACATGCACATTTATATTCCACATATTAAGAACACCAACGTGCGTTGTTGGGGAAAAGGGTAAAAGATCAGGATTAGACAGTGGAAACTATACAATATACATGTAGGGTTTGGACATGATTATTGTCTCAAGATTCCTGTTGTTTTTTCCCCTCTAATAATGCTTCACAAGACACGTCCATTTGTTATCCCCCATTCAATACCCTCCTCCTCTTGTCTATTGCCCTCGGTATCTTTACCCAATAATGTCCTTTGCTCCTTTATAAGTTTTTTTCTTCGAAAAATTGAACAAGCCCTATCGCTTACCAAGCTGCTGTCTATACCAATTGGACAACTTGAAAGCTCCTTTTAAAAAAAAATCTTATAATCGACACTCTTTTCATTTTTTTTAGCGGTTTAAAACCGAGTTTCGATCGACCTAGATAGTTTTACTTCACTCAACATGTGATGAGCTAGATTTGACTTCCAATTGGTCTCTGAACTATAAACGTCGTTTTAAATTGATCTTCGAACTTTGAATATTTTAATTTCATCTCTAAACTATAACTCACAGTTTAAATTTGTCCCTAAACTATCAAATATATTAATTCCTTTCCGAATCTATACAAATATGTAATTAGTGTCAATCATAGTTTAACCTATTTTTTCCGAACATGTAATGATATAGTTTTGCCTAATGGTTTTATTAGTATGGGATGCGATTATAATATGTCGATAGTTTGAGATGAAATTGAAATGTTCAAAAGTCTATAGATCGATTTCAAACAAGTCATAATTTGAGGATGAGATCAGAATGTTCAAAAACTTGAAGATTAATTTGGAATGAGATTCATAGTTTAGAGATAAATTTAAAATATTTAAAAGTTCATGAGCTAATTTCATTGGAATGCATGTGAGGTTATTGTGTATTTGTTTCCTCATAATAAAAGGATTAATTATGCTTATACTCCAAGTACTCTTCGTACCTTTAAACTTTATCCTCAACTTCTAATTCTAAAAATATATTTCCTCTCTACTTTGATTTAATAATTTAAAATCCAATTGCTAACATAATAATAATAATAATAATAATAATAATAATAATAATAATAATAATAAAAACTTATGTTAGATGGTGAAATCATATACCATGTATAATTAAAAATTTCATTGTTAAACCAAAAAAATAATTAATTATTACCTTTTCCTAATTAAATGATTCTCTTTTGATTTTTAACATTGTGCTATGTAAAATGTCTTATTAGAAGGAGAAATTATTTCATGGTCTCTACACATCACGTCATCCACAGTCTGAGAGCCACAAATTTTAAAATAACTTCAAAACAATCATTCATTCTTTATTTATACGTATGAAAAAGGTGAAGATTCACCTTAAAAAAATGAGACGGGAAATTATTATTGGTTGAGACCGCGAATGACATAGTGAACCAGAACCATCTAATAATTTTTCTATATTAAAAGAGTCAACAACAACAATACTTATATTTTACTTTTTACCTTTATATGTCACTTCTTTTATACCTATCAAAATAAATCTATTAAATCTCTCGATAAGTTTTTTTAGATTAATTGTATCATTTTTCTTGGTCAAAATATATTTTAAAATTAATGCATAGTTAATATAAGACATAAATTATGGACTAATAGACTGATTAAATATTATTTTAAAATATTATTTTTGTACGAATAATAAAGTTTATGTTAGATTGTGAAATCCAAACAATTACAAGGTCAAGTAATCTGTCGTTCTTAGAGGTTCCATTCCTAAAGTAAAAGTTCCACTGGAAACTCACCCAGCAACCAGAGAGAGAGAGAGAGAGATCCTTTTGTAGCCTTTCGGTGCTTCAGTTCAACAACTTTGATTCCTTTCCTTCTTTTTTTTGCCATAATTCAAAAACAACGTTATCAATTGTTTCTTTGCCTTTTAATCCTCGTAATTTGATCTCTTCCCCATTCACCATTGTTGCTACGTACACCGAAAGTCGAGCTGACAGTGCTGGGCGATGGCAATTGAAGTTTTGTCTGGGATTTCAAGCCCCAGGATCTCGTTTTCCAATGATCTCGACCAAAACGACGACGTGGGTTCCATCGAAGAATGCCGGCATTGGAGATTAGACACGACGCTGTTGAATTCGTCGTCGGATTTCGACTTCTGCTTCGAGAAGTACAGTTTTGTTCAAGAGCTGCCGTCGGCGGATGAGCTCTTTTCCAATGGCAAGATTCTTCCGATCGAAATCAAGCGAAAACCCGCCGTCCCAAAACAAGCTCATCGTCGACCGGAGCCTGTTTCGGTCTGTGTTGATTCTCCTCGGCGTCGGACGATTACAACGGAGAGCTCCGGGACGAAAATTAGACTGAAAGAGTTTTTATCGATGAGCATCGACGCAGACGACAAGCCTGCATCGAAATCGTTCTGGCAGTTCAAGAGAAGCAGCAGCCTGAACTGCGAGAGCAGCCGAAGCAAGAGCCTAATCCGCTCACTCCAATTCCTCACGCGCAGCAATTCAACCGGTTCGACTCCGATTCCAAAAGAAACCCAGAAACACACTCTCCTCAAGCAGCCATCTTTGTCGAGAAAATCGTCGGTATCGTCGAGTTCGTCTTCCGGTACGTATTACAGTTACGGTAATCCGACGCAGAAGCCGAGTTGTGGAGCACACGGGACGACCGGTGTTCGAGTCAGTCCGGTTTTGAATCTACCGCATCCGATCATCTCGAATGTGACCGTCGGCTTCTTCGGGTTCGGTTCTCTCTTCTGTAATGGTAAGGTTAAAAAGAAGAAAAGATGAAAAAAAAATCTGCAGTTGGTTTGTTTGCATGTGCATGTGGTTTCTTTAGCATATTTGTAAATTGGAAGAACAAAATTTGGTAAAGAAAGAGAGTGCTTTCATTGCATGCCATCAGAAGCACATGGAGGTGTATGATTCAAGTGAAAACAATTAATCAAATGGATGATCATGATGCATATGAGCATATCATCATTGTTTTGGACTTGGTAGACATGTCACCATAGCATGTATTCCTCCTCTTAATCATTAACAATACATACACACTAAATAGATGTAATTATTTAAATCCGTATAGTATAAAGGATAATAATATTATCTTTTATCGTTGAGGTCACTAAACGAGTTAAAAATATATATTAAATTTCTTAAGTAAGATTAAAAGTTCGAATCACCTCCATTTATAAATATAACAATCTGGATCGAGAGGATTGTCCGCCTAACAATCTCTACAATATTTGATTTGAACTTATAATGCTTAAAGTAATTGGATAGGGACCATGTTAATGTGTCTTTTTGTTTATATCTCTTCGGTCGAGTACAACACCAGCCTATGGTGTGGCCTGCCTGAGGAAAACGTATGCTTCATCCATGTGGATGCCCAATTACTTGTCTCATGGGTTAAATTTAGGCCACATTTGTTTTTGGGTTTTTTTATTTTAATCCATAAAATCATACTTAATTATCAAATAAAAAAAATCATATATGCCCTATTTCAACGTTTTTAACTAGTAATTAACATTGTTATGCGTCAGTGATAAGAGCCGACCTTAACTTAGTTGGTACAGCGGAGGACCGTAGTAGATAAAGGCTGAGATCCGGCAGGTCGGAATTTTTGGTTAATTAATTGTAAACTTCCATTAGTAACTCTTTTTACTAACAGAAATTTTCTGTGTGAACGATGAGAATGGGGAATGAATTATCCTGTTGCATAGTTGGACAGGTTTCGTTAATGTATCCCTGACTGTAATTTTCTTGAGATTTCATTGTTTGAATTTCATTTCACTTGGGTAAGATGTAAATGAGACGAGACAGATCGAGAGTCAATTCGAGATCGATTCGATCAAAGTTTGATAAATATTCGACTCAAATAAACTTGAGCTCGACTTGAATTCTTAGCGATCCAAAACGAACTATTTGATATTCAACTTGTAAAGCTCGCGACTAACTAAAAAATATAATATTACTGAAATCACTTGATGGGTTCTAAAGACTATATTTTTAATGTTGTGAAAGAGGTCGGAGGAAGAATGGACCGAGTTGTGTGCTGGAAAAAATTATTACCTATATAGCACATAACTTAAATGGACCGAATTGTGTGTTGGAAAAAATTTTGTTATCGACTTTATAAAAGGTAAAAATGCTACTTTATTTATAACTCGTTGACCAATGTAGAGCCTTGGTGTAACTTAAAGCTCCGATACCTATCAAATACCAATAAAGATTATAGTTAAACAATAACTATCATTTTACGACAATTTTTTTGAAGAAATTTTCACTTTACAAAGGTCTAAAACCTTTTCTTCGCACTTGTTACATTACCATTAATCACCTTTGTATCAAAATTAAGTAGTTTTTTTATAACGATACATACATCTCAAATTGGAACAATAACTTTTGAAGTTAGAAAATATTTTACCTTTTCATTTTTATTTTCAAAGATCTTTGAGACTTTACAAGAATTCATCAGTATTTCTGTTAACCGTAATTTAATGTGATTCACTAACATCATGAATGACATGTAGTGAGCCGTGATCATGAAATAACTTCTCCTGTTTTGGACCCTCATATTGCATTTGCATTTGGATATCAACATGCTAATTTAATGCTAGATTGCTAGGTGATATAATTTGTTGATGAAAATAAATAAACAAATAATTTTTTTGAAAATGTTAAAAAAAAACAACACAAAAAGGCACAAGTCAAGGCCTAGATGGTGCAAGACTAAGATGCAAATCCAAGCTCAATGAATCATCAAAACCATCTCCTTTTCTAAACCTACTCAACGAGGGACCATCAAAGGCCCGACCGTGGTTGGCCCTACCTTGCATCATTTGTGGGCAAACGTTCAATCCCGAATCGCCACCGCCACCGTAAGGTACACCGGCTGGCCCCCTTTCACCACCGCCGGTTGGAATCAAACAACCATGAGAGTAATGGAAAGGCGGTGGCCCTCCACGTGGTAAGTAAACCCAAGATGACCCCGTTGCAGCCGGCACCACAAGCGGTGCGCCCGACACTAACAGATGCGGCGGAGGAGCGAAAGCGGAGATCGTAGGATTCCTAGCGAACGAAACGTTCGACGCCGCGCTTCTAGTAGCATGTATCCGAGCACGCTTCAGCTGCTGCCTTTCCTTTTTATGAGCATTTTGGTGACCCCCAAGTGCCTGAGAGTTGGCAAACTCGCGGCAACAGTACTGGCACTCGTATTTACGTTCACCCGAAGGAGCGGGGAAACCGCTAGGCTCTTCCGGAGACGTCCCTGACGTTGGAGCTTTGATCATGTTGATCGTAGTGATGCTGGATTCCGAACCCTCGTCATCCTCCGAGACGCTGAAGCCGAAGAGCTTTAAACGTGTAGCGGCTGCAGCCGTGGTGGTTCTGGCATTATCCCGGTACTCTAGCTCCGCCATGATGTGAAGTAAGAGAATTGAGATGCAGAGAACAAAGAGAAAAAGAAGAAACTAATAGGCAATGTAGTGTAAGAGAAGAGTTGCATGTGTGGGGTATATATATATATACATAGAGACAAGATGGAAATAAAGAAATTAAATGGTTTGTGAAATGTGCACAGTGGAATTATAGAGAAAGTTTTCATATATCCCAAGTAGGAGCACAGCCCCAAGCCAATAACACTAGGGGACCCAAGGGGATTTCACTCTGTCTCCCGTTATAATGAAACTCTGTTAAACCTATATTAACTAATTGTAAATAAAAATATTTAATTTTTAATCAAATTTGAATGAATGAAATCGAATAGTTATTTATTCTACGAACCATATTCATTCTTTGTACATATTTTATTTAAAAATTTTATGTTGTTAACATATGTAAACCGACCTTAAAAAATATTTTTTGATTCGCCACCGACATTTCACATTCATTTTTTAAACAAGTTACTAGGATTCATACTAAAAGATGAAAAGTATAACTAAAATATGGATTAAAATTAAATTAATAATTGAAATATGTCATACGAAATGCATGTATGATAAAATTCAAACTATATAAATATAAAAACCAATAACACACCATGATGCTTCTCCACTTCACTTGGGCTCAATCCAAGGAGCCGACAGCGGCACCCACTCCCACTTTTGCCTCATCTCTCCCTTCAAAGTCAAACCATAGAGCATTTATTTGTTAAAAAGAAATTATAAAAATATATGAAATTAATCTACTTTAAACATATTTGAATCTTTTACTCATACAATTATAAGAATAAAAATGATAACTAAATTAATATTTAGTAGTCTTTTAAATAAAAGAAGGGCTACATAATTTTATATACTAATATTAGATCTTGTGTCAGATTCGAAAGAAACAAGTGAAAAATATGGCAGTGATTAAGATTGATTAAGTAGGATAATGTTCATACATAATTGGGTTTTTTTTTTCCAGTGATGGCCGTATATATATATGGGTTAGATCTAATTTCACATTATAATTTTTTTAATTTTATATTAATTTAAGATAATTGAATGAGTACAAATAAACGGTCGATATTATCTCATTGTGCTTTCTTGTAAGTATTTTTTTTCATTTTATATTATTAATCTCTGTTGTCTATTTTCATTCATCTAATAATTTTAAATTAAGATAAAAAAATTTATCTTACATTATATAACTGGATCTTGCCGCTATCTATATATATAGAATTTAGGATGTAAAAAGTGTGTCTACCCTGAAATTCGAATTTTCTTTAACTAATTACTTATTTTACTGATGATATTTATATGTCTACCCTAAAAAATATTTCTGAATACAGCGGCGGATCCAGAAATACGTTGGGTATGAAAATGCAGGAACGTTCAGGTTTTTACTTATAAAGGATCCCTCCCTTTACGTGTTGACGATGAATAATTGCTTACGATGTTTACGTGATTGACGTTAAGATTCATATATATATATTCTCCTTGTTTGCCTAAGATATCCCCGAATCTTACTAACTACGACAGAGGGGAAGAGGGAGAGTTCAGGGTTTTCAAATGAGAATCAATGATTAACACGTGCGTAAAACTCCAAATATGATGACCTACCTTTGTCTCCCATCTCTCATATATGGTTCCATTCGATGTTTTATATATGAAACCCTAATATATATATATATATATATATATATCCATTCAAATACATAATATATACATGTATATTAACAAGGCCTGACTTCCTTTTTAAGTAAAGCCTAATAGATTCTTTCAAACGACAATTTTCTTGTGGATTCCAATAAGCAGGTAAGAGATGGGATGGCTGTGATGACCCTTTCATGGTGGGACATGTTTCATATTTTATAGGACGTCCTGAAGTTATCATGCACATAGATTTAGGTCTTGGATTGGATATCCATTACTTTCGAAATAAAGAAACAATAACCCTAGCCCTTGTTAAACCTAACCACCTTTCTCCACCTTCTCGCTTTATTATGTGGATCCAATGATTTAACTTCCCTTTTTTTCCTCCTGTGGGTCATTCCTTCTCGCTGCCACTGTCGCCCGTTTAATGACCAAATGCAAGATTTTATGTAGATGGACGAATACAGATTATATATGAATAGAAGATACAAAAAAATATCTAAACTATACGAGGGTTTGAAATTTTCAGGGACAATTATCCTCATCAGTCCTCTCGATCCGTCCTCAAGTCTCGTTCATAAAGAATGTGTTGGGGAACAGTGTTGCCCAAGTAAAAGTTTCGTACTGTTTCCTCGGCTTCACCTAGGATTCTTGAATTGTCTTCATTTAATAAGGGTGTTGAGAGAGTGACTGTATAGCTTTCATTGAATTGCACTCAGCCACTCACAGTTGTTCATGATTTTATGGGTTGAAGCTAGAACTATAAGTGCAAATTAAGCCCTGGTTTGAAAGCTCCCTGTGCTTCCCAACATGCTTAATTCAATAGGACCCGTACCAAACCCTAACGTGAAGTAGCCACTTTAGGCATACATATAAGTGGGGGGAGATGCATTTGATGCATTAAAAGTAGAGGACTTTGTACATACAAATTACCGGCCGAATATAAAATCTAGAAATTATATAATATTTTTTTGATAGAATAACATTTTAGGTCATTGTTAGTTTAAATATTAGTCAATTAAGGTTTTTATCCTTCTCAATTTTTATATTTAAATACGAAATAGATTCATTACCCTCTCAATGTTTGATCCTAATTGCGTCCATGGTTGATCTATAAAAATTCGCTCTCTTTCGTGTTACATGGATGGATCAGGGGAAGCTGATAGGGATAGTCGTCCCTTGAAAATTTCAAATTCTCTTATAGTTTAAGTATTTTCTTTATATTTTCTATTAATGATATGTTCTCATATTCTGAAATTTTATAAATTTATTCCCAGACAAAAAATCATGTATTCGTGAGGGTAGTGACCGAAAACAAGAGGCAAAGGCACAAGGTTTTCTCCACTAATGAAGGGATAAAAAAACATGTGAGGTTGCATCCAAATTCAATTGGTGCATGTTGGGGGACCACATGGCATTGACCCCGCATGAACAATAACACAACCTACCTCTCTAGCTCTCATATTGAGATTAAGTTGGGGGGTGTTGAAACAATTGTCCAATCAGACATTCACAATCCCCATTGATTAATAAACAACTGTCATCTTAACTAGGGTTTGGTGTCATTGTTGTAATGGCTTCCACCATATTCATATTAAAAAAAAAAAGACAAAACTTGTAAGTAGCCTAATCATGCTTTATTGTTTTTTCTTCGTTGTTGATAGAAAGAATCCCTATATCTAAGATTTGCCCGTATCAACGAGTGTGCCCCACCTTGCTTTGAGCTAATCAATGAAAATTAACCAATTGAACTAATATAATTTTTTTTCTCATAATTTAAGGGTTTTTATTTATTAATTCGGACGGATCTATATCACAGATCTGATTTTGATAGGTGAATTTTTTATTAATTTTTTTTGAATACATAAAGATTCAAACTCGAGACCTACTAAAGTGTTATCAATCTACTTACTATTTGAGTCTACCCGTTAATAATTGAACTAATATAATTCTAGTAGTGATAACAAAAGATTATTTTAGACATGATCCTCTATCATCATATTATATAAAGCTCCACTAACTTTCTAAATCTTCTTTTGGTTTCCTTTTGCAACATTTGCTTTTGGAAGGATCCAAAAAAGGAGAGATATCCCCCAAAAGAATGACTTAGTTTTCAAGGTGAAACCCCTTTTTATGGATATGTTCAAAGAACATTTAAGCAATCCCAGATAATGTGGGTGACTCAAAAAATTATGGCAAGATATATAGAGATGGGACAGAGTCAGGATATCACTTCAAAGAGGGAAAATATAATTAATAATAAAATAAAAATTACAATTAATTAAAATTAAAATGTCAAAGTAAATATTTATTCATATATAATTTGAATAATAAAAATAGGGGCAGTGGCTCCCAGGATAAACATAGCTTTGTCCATGTATTAGAGATTATTGAATTGTACTTAAATGATCATTTTCGTCATTAAATTTTTAAAAATTATGAAACAATTATTTACTTTATTAAATTGCTATAAAATAGTCATTAACTTTTATTAAATTATTTCAAAATTATCATTACATTTCATTGAATTAAGTTAAAATGATCATTAAATTTATACTAATTCGATAAACTTAATTATCATTTTATAATTTCTAGAAGATAAATAATCAAAATAATTACTATTCAAATATAACTCAATTTTTTAATGTATTTTATCAAAAAGAGAGAAAATTAAAACCCCTACTTGACTTTTAAAACATAGATAGGTGGGGGAAGTTGGGTGGAGTTAGCTTTGAGTGATACGATGAGTTCCTTTTTTTTCATACATCTTTATATAATTCAACTAATATTTTAAATATTCGTCTCTCTCTATATATATATATATAGCTTGAAATCAAAATTTCATGATATATATTTTTTGAGTCATCAGATTAAAAACATGACCTAACCCGACATTACCATCCCTAGTAATAACACAATGGAAGGTCTCCCGTGAAAGGAGTATTGGGAGAGATGGGGAAGTCAACCAATGAGACAAAACAAATGTGCTTTGGTTGCTCGTAAAGTCAAGGCACGCTTAAACTACTAATCTAAAACACAAACCCACGTTAAATCTTAACCTGCAGAACACTGGGAGTTGGAGTGGGGACATGTGTGCACATGATTCATGTATGAGAAAAACATTTTATGTTCGGAATTTTCATTTGTTTTTTTTTCACTTTTGGTAAAAATGAAATTATTTTCTTAATTCTTTGTGTTATAGAATAGCAGCTCTTCCATGGCTTTACATGTATTATAGGGTTATGTCATTGTAAGAATTTGTACTATAAGGCTTCGTTATCGTAAACAGTATGTTTTTCTCTTTCCTTTCTTCAAAAGTACATCATCGTTAAATACAATAATGTAGTTATTGACAAGGGTTTCAGTCTTAATACGTGGCCTGCGAAGTCAA